CCCTTTCCCGGTCCTCGTCCGCTCCGCCAACGGCGCCTTCACCAGCAGTTCGTTGGCCCTCTTTGTTTGCGGCCGGGCCGAGGCGGACGACGCGAAGCGTTTAAATTAGGGTCCATTTTAGGGTCTCTTTTATAAGGGTGCCGTACTATTTTTGGGAGCAAAAAGGGACCCTAATTTCGAGAACTACCCACGTCTTGTTGCGCTCTCTTTTTCTCTCGTTGATCTTGCCGGACAAGAAGAAAACAAGCAAATCCAACATCCAGCATTCAAAGATACGCTAAGTACGGAAGCCGTGAAGCACCGCAAAGCCCCAACCTTCAACCTTGGATCACTCCCGGGAACACACCTTCCGTAAGTTCTGTCGCCGATCAGCGGCCGCCCCAGATGAGCCATGTGCACACCTTGGCATGTATATAGGGCCGAATTATCGCGTGTAGAGGTGTAGAGCGCATGGGGATAAAAGTCTCGAGCTACTGGATCAACATATTTACTGAAATTCTCGCTTGGGACCGACAGTGCATCCTGCTGGGCTTATGCACTTTGGCTGGTACTACTTGGTGTTGTGCCCCTGCTATTATCTTTGCATGTAACGGACTTTTGAACAATGTCTCGATGTTAATCCCAGACCCTAGACCCAGTACCCAGTTAAGTTTGGCGGTGTACTGTGTGGCCATCTGTAGCTGAAAGAGGTGGATTGGCAAGGTCGTGGCATGGTACCCTGCGATGAAAATCGACACTCCCATTCCTTGAAGGCTTCCTTTGAGGGTTCCTCTACGAATCCCTAGAGTTTAGGGCTTTAAGGGCTTTCAGGACTCCCTTTTATTGCACAGACTTGTGGAATCCATAAACCCCAAACCTGGGGTCATGGGGTTCAAGGCCGGCCTACATAGATGCAGTGGGGATTCGTCACCTACAGTACCAAGCCCTACTTTTTGTAGTCCGTACATGAGGGTTCATTATGAGAAACCCGAGACCTCAAACCCCAAGCACGGCACACCAAGAAGTCAAGGGACGGATTTGATGAGTGCGACCTGTAATCGGGTGTGCCGAGAGCAGCATCAGCTCTTGATCATCGGCCTGTTCACGGTGAAGTCTTGGAGGGGTGTCGGGTTTAGAGCTCAGGGAATGTATGAGGAATTTGGGGGCTTCGGGTTCGGCCTGCATGAGAATGTATACAGGGTTTGCAATCAGCATTCAGAAAGACCCGACCACCATCTCTCCCGCGGAACCCTAAACCCTAAACCCTAAACCCAACCCTAAACCCCAAACCCTAAACCGTCGCCGACATCCTAAACAAGAGCTGCGACGGGATTTGCGGGCGCTTGGCTTAGGATCTTTGGGGGCTTAAGATTTGAATCGTCAGGGTGTTAAACAAGCCTCAGGAACAGACTTAATGTAGGGGCCTTAACAATTAGAATACGGTCTGGGGGTATAGTATAGTATATAGTTATAATAAGGAACCCCCAAAACCCTATTCTACTTGTTATGGCCCCTACATTAGGCTTCAGAATTCGACCTGAGGGTTCAGGCTTGGGGCTTGTAGCATAAGTAGGCTAACTAGAATTATAACCCGTATTCGGGGACTTGAAACTCCAATTAGAACTACCCCTGCACCCTTAATGCCAAAAAACCCTTATCGGAACCCTTTTAGCTCCACGTCTAACTACCCTTGAACCTGCAAGTACGGTCAGGGCTCAGGACTCAGAGGGTTCAAGATTCAGGTGTGGGGGCGAGGCCAAGTTAACTTCAAGGATCGCTTGTCTTAATAACTAGGGTTCCTGCAAGGGCTCCTTGAAGGGTTCTATAAGGAGGTTTACTTGCAGGATCGTGGGACGTACAGTCGGGACATGAGTTAGAAATAAGGTAGCCATCGTTGTAAGTGCGAATCATTCTAATTCAGGTATTAATGACCTTACTAAGTTCCATGATCCTCCA